AACTGACTGAGGACGTGTGTGTATTTGGGTGCATGGTCAGTTTATGGTGGCTGTGCATGGAGGAATAGAGGAGCAAACAGATGAGCCTCTAAGCAAAGGAAGTTACTACGTTACTACTTGTATGCGCAATAGTTGCAGCGCCAGCATTCGATCGAGTAGCAATTTAAACAAGCATCACATGTTGCAAACTAGTGACTGCAATAAGCGCTCAAATGCAGCCTCTAGCTGCTAGCTGCTAGCCTCTAGCCTGTAGCCTGCAGGTAGCAATTGGCAGTTGGCAGCTTGGAACCAAATGGTACATATGCGCACTTGATTTCATACTATCTTCACCATGTGAAAATGGAGAAATTATGAACCAGAATTGCTTTTTTATATTTCAATATTAAATTGGTTCGTCGTTTCCTTGTCTTCTCGTAAATCTGCAATTTCTTGGCTTATTTTCTGGACTGAGGAGAATTGCTGTAGTAAAAATCTGAATTGTTTCAATTGAAAAATGGAAAATTGAAAAGTGCCATAGCAGAAAATTTTCACAATAACAATGACAATTTGCTTATCATCTCCAGTTGGCGAAACTACTGCAGTTAAATTCTAAAGTGAGATGAAAGCAATTGCAGATTTTATATAATCACATAAAATAATTGCGATATTAAAAAAAAGTGAAATTATTATTGCCGCTTGAGGCTAATACCTAGCTTAACTTAGCAGAGTGTAGTGAACTTCATAGCAAACAGAAAATTAATTGAAAGTAAATATGGGAGTGGGTAGATATAACCTTTCATTTAACTCTACTATGTACTGTTAAGATAATTGGTTACCGTATGTGTTTGTTCTTTAGAGATTGTGTTCAAAAATATTTCACCTGATACATAAATCAGGCGCGAAGAGGAAGATGAGACAACTTCTCTGTTACCTCAAGAAAGCATTCCTGGATATCCTAGGGAAAATTACCAAAGTGGATTTGTCCCTATTCAGGTATTGTTAAGTAGAATCCAGTGATATCACAGCAGGTCAATAGGTTTATGTGAGTCGTAATGGATGATTGCTAATTTATGGGAAGGAATATTGAGTCTAAAATGACTTTAACTTTTATTAAAAAAAATTGGATAGGAATTGAATATTAGAAAACCACCCCAGAATTGATATGAATTGACATGAAACCACCACAGATAATTTGTGCAATCAATGTTAACCGAAGTAGGCTGAACCATTCGATGGAAGGGATTATTGAGGCTAATATCACTTTTTCTTTGATTGAAAAGATACGACAGGAATCAACGATATGACGAGATAATTTTATTACTAGTATTATCTTTGGAATATAGCGAATCATATAAAGTTTTTGGCATACATAAAACATCAGATATATGAATCTGTGGTCATCATTCAGATGTTATATTACATCTCATTGTGTTAGATATATTATAAAGCTAAGTTAAAAATGACAAAATTTATTTTAAGGATTTTGGGGAAAAAAAAAATTAATCAAACTGAAAAATGGAAATGGAAAAACTTGTTAGTAACTTTAACGAAAATTGCACAAAATGAATTGGTTTCCCCCGAAGAGTTCACTGTCACAATCAATAAATTATTGTCACATATAAAAGTAACGGTACCAAGAAGATACAAATAACCCGGTCCATTAAATAACAAAGAAACTGCAACAACAACAACAACTACTACTACAAGAATTGCAATAAGTAATTTGAAATGCATATGAAATACAAAAAAAAAACAACAAACAACAAAAATAATAACAATGATAATAATAAAAGTTTGCATTATCTCTGGACTCCCATGAGACAGAAACCAACGCTGTGAGTTCGCTGTGGGTTCGCTGTGAGTTAGGCTGAGTTAAGTTGAGTTGAGTTGAGATGTGCGACTATTATACGGACCGAAACGTTAGTTGAAACATTTTTGAAGACAATAACAACAACAACAACAACAACAACAACAAGAATTACAATTGCAGGAACAGCCGCAACAATAACAAGAACAATAATACCAACAACAACAGCAACAATTGCTGGCAGCAACTGTTGCAGTAGTGGCAGTGCATCTCACAGAGCTGTCAGTTGAAACTGCGCGAAAATGTCACTCATTCACAGCCTACTCAATGTTTGCGATAAAGAAGCGTACGAGGGGGCATTCATGTTTAGCGGCTAATATGCCTTGATAATACCGCTAAGAGTTGTGGCACATTCATGTCATACAACTGGACAAGATTGTGGACAACGCACGATTAGAAGCAACAAAATGTTGTTGCCATTAGAAAATTTTGAAACAAAATAAAACAACAACAACAACAAGTAAATAAATAAATAGAAAATAGAAGTATACATTAAAAACAATTGTGAAAAAATAAACTTAAAATTTAAACTAAGAAACAAAAAAAAATCTTTGTATCTGCAATAATCACAAGACGCGAAGAGACGAGATGAAAAGACGGAACAAAAAATGTTAAGACAGAATGCTTAACATGAGTTTGACATAAAATGGACAGATGCATGTGAGTAACATGATAACGTAGATGCAACAACAACTTCAAATAGCCACAGTACGTAACTAGTTACGTTTATTTCATTTCAAACTTACGCATATACGTAAGTATATGAAGATACTTACGTTAATATGTCTTCACAATAGATAGAGAATGTACAGTTTATGTACATACGACTATATTATATCTAAGACTTCGCATATATATAAACGTCTACCAATATATATATATATATATATATTTATATTCGTCTTTATATATAGAAGTAAAAGGCTAATCAAAGCTATATACATACGTATAAGTACTTGTGGAATAGCTCAACAAAGGAAAAAGAAAAGTCGTTGACTTCTTGGTCTTAAACAACTAAAAGGCATTTTCAAATTCGGTGAGTTGCGGAAGTATAAAATATATAGGGCAAATTGCTACTCCAATTTCAAGGCTACGAAAGGAATATACTCGTATGCTAGCGTTTTCTAATTGCAGAAAGTATTCGGACAAGAAAACTATTAAAATAATATAAAATAGCTATCTATTATAATATAAATGTTTCTATTTATAATTATTATGGTACAAAACAAGAGCTCTAGATGCACTGTCAGGAACAGTTAAAGTTCGAGTCCATATAACTATATTAACTATAACATTACAATTCACAAATAACTTAAGCTTCCTTGACATTACTTTACTGACACTGACACCAAGGATTTAATTACTTAAAATCACTGTCATATAATATTATAGATCGCAATTAACTTTAGCTTACTCTCCTGATAGTGTTTTACAATGCTTTGTCTTGAAAGTCTCTATAAAATAAGTTATTGATTCAAAAACTACACTCATCAAATTTGACTTATGATATAGTTAGTCTGTAATCAGAGTAAAACTGAGGAACGCTGAATCATTAGTTGGTATACCGACCAATTAGGAGCTAATTTCAAACAACTACTGCCGAAACCGTCGTAGAGAAATCTGAAGAGGAATGGAAAGTATGACTCAGTCGCATTATCACTACTCGGAACTCATTTGTATGTACTCAATGTAATGCTCCTCTACTTCAAATAATTGAAGAATATCACCAATAGAAGCACTATGGACATAACCCATTTCATCAACATGATATATTTTTCGTGAACCCATTGTGGTACGGTCTCCAACTGTTCTAGTGAATATTCTTGTTATCCGCAATTGACTCAACTTTTTCTCTGAAATTTTATTTTTATTTTTAACACTAAAAAAAAACCCATATATTTGGCTATAAGATTAAAATTATTTATTTATAAAGTAAAACTGTTTTTAATTGATTTAATAAATAAATTACTTGAATAAAAGTGTTATTTAGCCAAAAAAAAAGTCTCCAATTAAAATTTCTTAGTTTTTGAACCATGGAAGTAAATCTAGTAAACTAAAGGGTGTACCTTCAGCTTTAGCTGATTTATAACCTAAGTATATAATCAACGGCATATATCCTACATGAAAAACAGTTTTCATCGACTTTAGGATAAATCTTAAAGTCTTCTTTTTGTTTCCTTCAACTTCATCTTCTCCTAAAGCGATGGTATTTACAGCTAAAGATACTGCTGAGCTTGATGTAGCAGTTGGGTCATTACCGTCTGATTGCCCATATATCGTACGTACACCTTCAGCAGAGAAACTACTTATTGATGGCGTATCTGTAATATACTGTGTGTTAACATTAGGAGCGGAAAGCTCTGATTCATCCGAATAAACACTGTTTTCTTTAAATTCTACTAATTGAAAAATGGGATTTTCGTCTGTTGCGGAACTTGAACCCTCGCTGAAAATACTTGTCTCATCCCATTGTAACTCAGATGTATGGTGTGTAGAAGAACTTTGTTCGGAATAACCGTTTATCTCCGTATCCAGTCTGAAATTAGTAGAACTTTGGCTATTCATATCAGGTCCTGACAGCACCGACCTTTCGTAAGAATTGTTATTATTCGTTATGCAATGTTGGGAAACTGAACTCTGATCAATTGTTTCCGAAGATGCGTCACTATAATCGTCAAATAAGTCCTGCACATTTCCATTAATCGCCAAGGTATCAGTACTTTGAATAAATGCATCTCTTGTAGTTTCAGAAAAACTAAAATTTACAGAGTCCTCATCTTCATCCATTTTCTAAAAAAATATAAAATGAGTATGCAATATTTTAAAGAAAGTGATAAATACTATTAGCTCTTTTTACCAATACTCAAACTTCACTTCAATTTTATTATTTTTTTTTTTTGGAGACTAAAATTTAAAACATGTTTTAAAACTAAAATTTATTTATGAATTTGAACTAAAATATATTTTCCATCTTAACATTCATTGTATTAATTGTTTAATTCGGCCTACTTAGCTGAAACATAGCTTTTATATTGTAATATAATATATGAAGGTTAAATACACAATAATAGAAAAATATTATAAAAGTTATGCCAGATATTTATAAGAATGAACGTTTGCACGGGGCAGAATAAGGATTCCGGGGCGCTGCGATTGAACGAAGGGTTTTGGGGAATGCGGCTCATTTATGCCATTCATAACACATCTAACCTTAAAGTATTTTAAATCTTTTACATAAAAAACAATTTCTAGAATATATTACTTTCTATTTGTGAAAATGTTAAATTTAAGGAATCGGTCCTAGGGATGTTCTGCCGGTTGCGCTGTAAAAATTGGAAGAAACACAAATACACATTCTTTATTTATAATTTCGACTTATCATTTTATATTATTTACTTATATTTTGCATTTATTAATTATTTATTTATTATCTTTCTTTCAGGTAAGATACTATTATAATATATAACCGCATCTATTCTGCAATTTACGTAAGTAGTCCATAAAAATTAATACGTAATATAATATCAAAACCAGCTAAAAAAAAAAAATTAAAACTTTAATTATTAAAATTGATTAATTAATCAAGAACAATATATTAAATTAAATATATTACTGAAAAAATTACTGTTAGTTAATATAATATATATTGATAAGGGAATTATGTACTCTTTTTTAAATCACCTTGTCATCACCTTGCCTATAATCGGCAATATTATATATTCATTGCTCACAAAGCTCCGAAAAATTCCCAAGTGAATCGTATTAAGTGAAAAAGTAGTCTCTTCACTTCTGAGTAGTCAGTTATAGTCTGCTTGACTCTAGTGGTAGATTTGGTTAATTTTTTAAATATGTAGTTCATAGATTATTTCGTTGCTATGAATCTTGGTGGCTATAAAACAGACACCTTTTTATTGAAACATGGAAATTTGAATCACTGACAAACTATATGTTATATGTCGGTAATATAAAAGCTCTATAGAGAGTATTTAGGGCGCTCCGTTGTAAAAGAGTAATTTGAGTTTGGGGATAATATCAGAAACATATGTCTCATATCGAGCATATATATATATAATGAAGTCTTCTGGCATCGAGCGCGGATTATTAAGTTTTGTTTTTGTGGACTAATTTTCCTATTAATGCCTAAAATTGAATAAAATAAAATTGAATTTTAACATATCTCGATTTATATTCAGGACCAAATGCTCTACAAAAATTTGCTTAAGCTTTTTTGTGACAATTTCATTATGCAGTTTTATAATTACTGCACTGTGTACTGCTCTGATAACATATATGCTTATTGTTATAGCGATTGATGTTCATTTTGAGTGGAAATAAGGTACATTCCATTTCAAAGCATTGGTAAGTTTTAGCATTGGTGAACTTGATTTCCATTTTATTGATGCTCTGATTAATTTTTTAATAAGACTGTTTCAGTAGATGAATTTATTATTAAAATGAAAATTAACGCGTACTAATCTCTGATTCCCAGTGGAACAATTTAAGACTATTCATGAATATGACCCACAGTCTATTCTAATCTAATTGTAGACAATGGCTATATGGACCAAACCTGACAGAATGAAAGAACTTATGCTCTGACCTATTTCCATGTAAGTTTTCACCATCTGTAGGGTTGACTTGTAGCTAATCTCTTTGATCAAGATGAGGTGCCTACAGCTTGAGGGAAATGAAGGAATTACTTCATGAAAATCTTTATCAATTTGTGGTATATCAAGTAACATTTTTTAAGCTTTTATATTCAGTTTCATTCATTCAATTTGATTCATTTTTTTATAATTTTGAAAAATAAAAATAAATTTAAGAAAAACTATCCAATTTACTGATACATCAAAAAGTGATTGGAAGACTTGAAGTCATTTGTAAAAATGAAAGAGCACTTTCACAGAAAATGGAAAATTATTTAAAAAAAAAATGCCTTAAGGGAAACTTTAAAGCTTTGCCTTCGAAAAGTAATGCCATTCTGTCTGGCAATTCACAAAAATATGCTGTGGAAAAACAATGCGCCCAGCTAAGCGGTGGGCAACCCACACCCTTCCTGTACAATGGAACGACCGTTTAGAGGAGTGCGATGTTACTTTCCGATACAGACAATAAAACCTACATTTATGCTTTTTACATAATTTTTATTGGCTTAGGTTTTCGAGTTTTGTTTTCTGTAAAAACGCGCAGCGGTAATCAATCAAAATTTTCAGCTTCACAATACTCAGCTGACAATAAAGTAACCTAACCCATTAGTTACCGGCTCCCTGCAGCGGAAAGGAGGGCTGTTGTTCGTAGTATTAGGTGAAGGCTTGTAATTTACAATAGATACATTTGTCATTGAAGTTGACAGCTGTGTTAAGCAGCAGTTGAGGTTTGTTAGCAAGAGCAAATCGCTCTGCAATTGCTGTTTATGTTGATGTCTCGCTGCAATTGTTGCAGTTATTGCTGCAATTGTTGCAATTGTTGCAATTGCGATTGTTATAATACCTGATACTGTTGATGTTGTTGATGGGAACTTTCACTTTTTATATGTTAACTGAGATGATACACATGAGACACATAACCCAAATTGATTTATCGAACGTCATTAGTGAAAAGCAATTTTTTTCTGTAATTTTTAATAAAATATCGAACAAATTTTTTTTATAAAATCTTGTAATGAAATTGCAATAAATGAATACGTGCCTTTGGCATATATGAGTATATATGGGCACATATAAAAAATAATGCTTTATCTTTTATATATGCGCATTTTAATTATGATATTATATAAAATGAATAAAAATTTTATTTATCTCGTTTTACATATTTGCTATTAAAAATGTTGTTAAAAAATGTTGCAGTACATTTTTCTCCTATACAGTCGTATGCCTTGCACAAATTTGCGAACTGTCCGTCCGGCCATCTGTCCGTCTATATGACCGTCTATCTATAGCTCATTTACAATGTTTAATCGTTTGCGGTTTCTCTTATTTTTTAATATTTTCATGTTTTATTTTTACTGGCTATTGTAAATAGATTTGGACATGTCATAATAAATAGTTTGATTGTCTTACGATATTGCGAAAATTTCATGTTGCTGCAACATGCTGCAAATACCAAAGTTCAACTAAAAAGCAAGACTAATCACTGCAAATGCAGGTATAAGCATTTAATGCATTTTATAAAAAAAAGTGATTACATTTTTTTTTTTTCAAGTTATTAAACCTAAATATTTTGCTAATATGCAATTTTTTCTTATTATTGATCTTTTTTATATAATATTTTTTTGTTTATTTATTTGCAATACATTCATTGTTTTTGCTTGTTGATGCAGTTACATGTTGCCTTTCAATTGCGCAGTGTTGCTGCAACATTGTTTGTTTACTTTGAGTGGAGAGTAGTGCATATGAGTTCAGTGTGAGGACAAAGGTGTTAGTTTTTTATAAGGTCATCAGCAACTAAATTGCAGTTTTATAGTTTAAACTTAACAAAAATTGATAAATAAATAAAATTTGTAATAAAAGTGAATTAATGTAATATATTAAATGCTATGGTTTGTTTGCTTTCTTAGCGAATGCAATGTTACCAAGTCACTTTCTACTTTATTCAGTGCAATATAAAACCTCCGTAAACTTTATGTTACATGCAAACATATATATAAAACATGTATAAAGCATAAACATATATAAATAGGATACAGAATTGAGTATTATAATGAAAGAATTATACTATAAATAAAATATATCATCTTTGCAAGTTAATGGGATGTTCATTAACCACCACAAATCTTATATTACTTAACATATAATATTTACAGCACAACAACCACCATAAGGCATTATAACTTCAGTTATAATGCAAGCTTTTCAAAGACTTGTTTAGGATAGTTGCCATCTGGCTCCGAAGACTAGTGAACTATAAATGCAAAGAAAATAACAAATACTTTCCTATTCATTTATTTGTAAATTAAATAGAAATCTAAGTCTAAATACTCTTATGCTTTATGCTTAAGTCATTAATAACTTAAGTTATACTTAAGTCTAGACTTAAATGAGTATTCTGCCTTAAGTTACAACTGTGAAATTGAATCTTAATATTGTAAGGGATTTTTCTTATCTGGCTAGCTGCTCTCCAACAAATCAGAAGTCAATAATTAGTATCGTTGAACTTGAGAGATCTCTTTGTATAAGCGCTAGTGTTTGTTTGAGATTGTATGTAGGCCATTTACATATCTAGTATGAAAACTGATTAATTTATTTTTTAAAATCATGCAATTAATGACAAACATTTTGTTTTATGTTTTCGATAAAGTGAAAAGTTAATGTATTAACTTAAAGATAAGAGAAAACGAACTCATTTATTTTATGTTAAATTTATTTAAATAAATCAGCTACAATAGCTACATTTACTACAACAACTTTTCACTTATCCTTTAAAATGCATAAATAAAGAAAAGCACAATGTCAGGCTTTTACTGCCAAAATCAACACAGATGTTCGGGGAGGCAAGGGTCTAGATAGTGATTATAATTGTTAACAACATGAATGCAAAACTCATAGAAGAAAAGCAGCATAATTTCTGAGATGGAATTGTATATTTCACGCCGTTCAACAAACTTTTATAATAAATTTTTCAGGCAATGAGCGATCACAACCCGCAATTTTCCAAAATGAGTAGTGAGTACCGAAATGTTGGTTCGTCCCACTTCATACTTAAGGTTTACAAAATTTGCATAATAGAAAATTTAATTTACAATTTTCGACATTGTTAAGTTTTGCATATAAAAAGCTGTGAGGAAAACTACAGTGAAAAAAAAGTTGGCAATAAAAAAGGGAAAAGATAATAAGTAAAACATCGTTGAAAATAGTTCATCGCAGTCACAATTGCACAGTTGCAATGTTTTTGTTGAT